ATCCTTTCAATTAGCTTTAATGCAGAACAAGCTGTTAACCCTAATATAGGCTTAGATCTTACATCAAGAACATAAAACTGTAAAGGTACATTCTTAAGCCTTTCAGTTGAACAATTAATTATAAGAGTACCTTCTGGTTTTAACTTAAAATTACCATATGCAGTTAAGAACAAATCAGTTTCATTAAGTTTAGGCTTAAGTTTAACATTATTTAAAACATACAAAGGCAAAATATTTACTTCTGCACCAGTATCTAACTTAAAATCAACCTTGAAAGACTTATTATTTACATACATTGTAATACTTTTCACCCATGTTTCACTTACCTTGTGAATATCCTTATTTACTTCATCAATAGAATTTGTTAGTTCTTTGAATGATTTTGCACTTATTTTAAATTCACTATGCCCATTTACTGGTGGATCTATCATTACAGAGTCAACAAATACACTATGTTCATTATATATACTAAGTTCATTATATGGTATTTCAACTTCATAAATGTTCTTGGGGCACCTCGCGGCAAAGTGGTTCTTTACTTTGCATTTCGCACACGTCTTTCCGAAAGCTGGACAGTCCCGATATTTGTGCCTTCTTCCGCACTTCTTGCAGTCATATTCTAGTGCTGATTGCTTCTGCTGCTGACGACAATTTCGGTGGCACTGACTGTTTTGATTGATGCTGCTGTTTTCTATATTTCTTCACGCTGTTCACAGTCGCTGGATCATCTTTCATGTTCCGGAGTTGCTCTTTGCTTGTTTCAGCGGCACGGACTATTTCTATAGCTTTTTCTAATCCCAGGTTAGATTCTCGAAGCAAACGTTCGGTCAGACTCCTATCCCGAATGCCTAATACAATACGGTCGCGAATCAATCCATTTTCTTGTTTAGCAAACTCACAAGTTGAAGCTAAAGTCTTTAACTGAGTGACATAACATTCAATTGTTTGTCCTTCTTGCTGGCTACACGAAAAGAATTTGTAACGTTCATATACGACATTCTGCCGTGGTGAACAATAATCTTCAAAAGACTTCAAGACCTCTTCGTACTTCTCTTTATTATTCTCAGGTGGCTCAAATCGAAACGTGTTATAAATTTCGAGTCCTTCAGTACCGAGTAAATTCAAAAGGATTGCAATTTTAGTCTTATCTGGCTTGGCATCTTTTTCCGTTGCAAGTAAATAGTTTTCTAGCTCTTGCTTCCATTTTTTCCATTTTTCTTTAACATTTCCGACGGAGAATGTTAGCGGAGCAGGTGGTCTGAAATCCATTTTGCTCCTGACACCATGTAACTTCTTGTGTAGTTTGTTAAACTTAATAACTTCTATACTTTCAAAGTAGACTCAACTAATGAGTATATCTCAAGAATTCCTATGTTTTCCGTGCTCTTCAAGTTTGCTCCTCCAAACTAGCCCTTGATGAAGAACTAAGTTATTTTAAAGCAATACTATTGACAGGGCTTCCACCCACATTAAATCAAGCAGTTAAAAAATTCTCATCTCAACACACTAAAAGGCACCTCTTTTGGAGATTTAAAATTCTGTTGTCATTCCCTCTTTCCATCAATTAGCTATAAAGTTGCACATATTTTGCAGAAATTTAACTTTCAGGTTGTTTATTCTCCCATCAATAAATTCCGAGTTCCATACTCAAGGACCCCATTCCGGATATGAATTCCTGGGGTATTTATAGGATTCCTTGCCAGTTGGTTTAATTTACATTGGCCAAACTAAGAGAGCCTTAAAATTTCGCGTCAAGGAACACGAGGCATATGTTAGAAAAACGGAAACACAGAATCTTCTGTTGCTCAACATTGTTGGTCCGAAAACCACACTTTCATTTTTTTCTGCTGCCAAAATTATTCAAAAAACATCTCCATTGGAGAACTGGATTTTCTAGAGGCATTTCACATTCATAAAAATCTTTCTGTTCTAGTTAACGATCCTAATTCCAATCCAAATTTGCCTTCGCCTTTAAAGAAATTACGTTTAGTTCTGGTTTCACCAACAGTGGCGCCACTTGCTTATTCTTGTCCAGGCTTTCTTATCTTATCTTATCATTATTTCCTATCTGGTTCATTTGCGGTTTTGCAGCTGAAGATGGTGGTTCAGTAAAACCATCGAAACTAGTCCTGTGAAAATTTGGTAAATATAACGCTGATTTTTGTTGTTTGACTTCTGATTTAATATCTCAAGAAATCAAAATTTTTATTATTACATTTTTAAACAGTTCACATGACATTCAGCTAGCACAGTAACACGTGCATCACAACAACGGAATCGCATAGCATGAATGCCATTACAGTTATAGTTATTTTAAATATACATCACAGAAATTTTGCATTTGGTGACTAAAAACATCATTTCTTTTTTGTTATATTTGTAAAAATGTAGCTGTTGATTTATCAAGTTTCTGTTTGAGGTGTAAAATCAACTATAATTTCTCCCAAATCCATATAGAGTTGAAATACGTACAGATTGTATTTACTGTTACTGCTGGTGGAGACATCATGATAAATCGATTTGTCAGTGCCTGGAATGGCAATCTGAACCATTCTCAGCCTTGGGTTGTTTTTTAAAATCCTTAGCTTTTCATCATCTTGAAACTCTGCAATAGTTGTGTAATCGATTGGGGATGGTATTAATTCTCAAAAGAGTATCTGCAACAACATTTTCTTTTCCCTTGGCGAAGCGAATATTTGGTGAAAATTGAGCAATATAACTCAATTGTCTTGCTTGTCTGGGAGAGGCTCTGTCTACATTTTGTTGAAAAGCAAAGGTGAGAGGTTTGTGGTCCATATAAATCTTGAAAGATCTTCCCTTGAATATGTACCTAAAATGCTTTATTGCAGTGTAGATGGTCAAGAGCTCTCAATCATATGTGCTGTACTTTCTCTGTGTGTCAGTTAAGGCACGTGAGAAGAAACTTAATGGATACATCTCTCTTTGGTCAATTTGAGGAGCGATGGTCCCAAGAGCTGTATCTGAAGCGTGGCATGTGAGAGATATAGTGGTGTCAGTTAAGGGATGAACCAGTATAGTAGCGTGACAAAGCACATTTTTGAGGTTTTTTAATGCGCTGTGAGAATCTTCAGCCCATGTTAACGATATTTTACTATTTTTACATCTTCCACTGAGTAGTGAGGTTAGACGTTGAAGTTTGGCACACTTTAAGATGAAGCGGTGATAAAATTTCATCATCCCTAAGAACCTGCACAAGTTAGCAGCTGATGTGGGTTCGGGTATGTTTTGTATAGCCTCAACCTTCGTCAGGAGAGGTCTTATTCCTTCAGGTGTGATTTCATACCCCAAATAATTAAGTTTAAAAGTGTCAAAAATACATTTTGCAACATTGATGCATAAACCATAGTCGTTTAATCTTTGAAAAACTATGTGTAAGTGCTTGCGGTGTTACTCTTTGTCTGGAGAAGTGATTAGTATGTCATCTAAATAGCAGAATATAAAGTCTAATCCTAATAGTACCATATTCATGAATCGCTGAAATGTCTGTGCTGTGCTGCGTAAACCAAATGTCAGAAATGGTAATTCAAATAGCCCAAAAGGACTTATAATGGCCGTTTTTTGGATGTCACTTTCATGCACCAGAATTTGTTAAGCTCTACTTAAGTCAATGGTTGAAATAAATTTTCTTTCCGTGTAGAATATAGCCACAGTTGGTGAGGAATGGTAGAGGATATTGATCAGGAGTGGTGATATTATTAAGAGTCCTGTAATCTCCCATGACCTCCAGTCACCTGATTTCTTTCGAGTGACATGTAGAGGACTCAACAACTTTTCGAAGGCCTGCAAAGACCTTGTTGCAACATAAACTCAAATTCGGCTTTTGCTGCTTTTAATTTTTCGGCTTAGTCTTCTGACCCTAGTGGTAACAGAAGACCCCTTAGTTTTAATGAAATGTTCAATGTTGTGACTTGTAATTTAATCATTGATGAGTGTTGGCCCCAAAAGATCTGGGAATTGTTTGAGGATTACATCGTACTGGTTCTGTACTGCATGAAACATTGGTGAAATGACAGCATAGGAGGGGTCACCAATTGAAGACAATGAAGTGATGTCATCAATTAATTTACGAGTTTCGCTGTCAACCAAAAGGTGAGATAAAAAGTCAATACCTGTTATTGGTTTATTAACGTCAGCTATGACAAAAGGCCAATCAAATGCCCTTCTCAGTCCCAAATCCAATTTTAGCAACTTTTGTCCATAAGTCTTAATTTTGGTTCCATTTGCAGTGAAGAGTTCCAGCTTTGCAACAGCTCTTTTTCCTTTCGATAATTGTGGAATCACGGAAATTTTGGCATCATTATCAATGAAAAATTTGGTGATGCTCTCCTTGTCATGAATAAAAAGACGACACATCTCTACCCCTTGGCCCTCTGTCGTCTGCGAGAGTCGGGGATTTAGTTTTCCTTTGAATGAATATTGGTTTCGTTAGGCCAATTGCAAAGATTATTGCCTTTGAAAGCCTTGTAACCAAACCTTGAGTGATAAAATAAACTTTCATTTCTGTTACTATGCCTATTAGTAGAATTACTTCTAGAGTGAGATCTGGACTGTTTGACGTCTAGAATAATGTCTTTTATTCAGTTTGCTAACTTGTAGGGATAACTCTGAAACCTGCTCCTGTAATTTAACTAAAACATTGTCATCTCTAGAGCAAGCTACAGCAGCATTCTGATGTGATGCAGATTTTATTTCCTATATTTTGTCCGCCATTAGATGTGATTAAAAATGTATCACACATGATATGAACGTCTGTCTATGATTAAAATTGTCTGATATAGTGAGTGTTAGGTATCATTCTTTAAACAATGTCAGAAGAAGTTTATTATCTAACTTTGAAATAATAAGTATAATTTTGAAAATTTTCCCTTATTTTACTTAATTTTTCATATCTCCATTTCAGTGATAAGTTCAAAATATTTATCATTTCTTTGACTTACTTAACTCTTGCCTTCGTTTTTCATTTTCGATTCTTGAGTAACATGTCTGGTAGTCACCAGTGAAGTGCGTTGCTTAAAATCTGAAGTATTATTAATATGCCATAAAAAACAAACTTTTTAAACAATTTTATTTATGAGAAAACAGGATAGGAACAAATATCAAGTGGCCTATTTGAAAACAAAATTCCAAAAAATGTTTATCTTTTGAACAATCTTTTTGTGTTGTCATTTTACAAAAATTAAAATGTACAGAAATTAAAGATAAGATGAAGAGGAAACATAGAGGGCACTACAATCCTTTTTAAAGGCAAATAAGTTTTCTGTAAGTGTAATCAGAATCTCTGCATGAATTTTAGTTCTCCTTTTAATTTTATTTATTTGGTGCAAATTTATAAAAATAAGATTTTGTAGGAAAAAATAAAAAATATATATATATGCATATTAATGTAGTGTATTATAAAAATAATTTTAAAAAATCTGATTTCTTATTTTTAATATTTTAGGTAAAGAGCATACAGCAAGTGTTGTTAGTTCATCTAGTCTTTCAATCAATCAAAGTTTAGAAGGACATGCAGGTAAAATTATTTTAAGGTTTTTTTTTTTGAATACGTTCTGCCAGTATAGTGGTTAGTGCTCCTGGTTGCTGTATCATTGGGTTTGGATTTAAATGTCTGTAAAGGTGCGTTCAGACGTGGGCGTAAAGCGCATAGAGGCATAGTCATAAGGGCATAAAATACGGGAGACCTGTTCACTCCTGCGAGAACGAGGTGTAAGTCGTGGCCAATGAGAGAAGCTAAATTTGTGCATGCGTGGAATGTCTATAACTTTCCCACGCTGTTCTGCTTGATTGATTTCCCGCGTTTGCTCTGCTTGTTTTTTTCGTTGTGTCATGGCTTTTTCAGCTCGCGACAAAGTTTTACTGGCTCAACAGAATGATCTTTTATCTGCCCTTCTCATTAGCCAAGAGGCAACGGAAGATGGTAAAAAACGAAAAAGAACGAAATGGTCGAGAGATATTTTTTTGAAAGACCAATACTTGGTTGGCGCATATATTTCTGTGCAAAGCAGTTTGGAATATTTCTGCATTGTACTGTAGTACTCTCTATACTTTAAACATGCACATTCATATTTATATATATAAAACCTTCTTCAATTTTTATATATAATTTCTCTTAGGAGAAATAAGATATTCTAAATATACCTAATTAAAAAAAAATCTTGAGGATAACTAACAGATAGCCTGTATATAATATTTTTCCATTTTGCAGGTGTGAAAGCAGTTAAGCTAAAAACAGTACTTACCATACATTATATATTATTTTTTAAATTTTCAATCAAAAGGAACATGTTTCTGTGACAGTGAAACATGTGTGCTTAGCACTCCTTATTCACTGTCCCTTTCGATCACTATAGTAGTTTGCTGCACTACCAGTATCAATTATCTAGTACTACTATCCAACAACTGGTCATAATGACCAGCAACCACAACTAGTACAATACTAGGAAACGTTCACCCAACAATGTATTTTATGCTCAATCATTAAATACATTTTGCTGTCTTGCCAGCTGTTTGTATACACCTATTTCTAATAATTTGCATGTATAACCCATACCCCTGAATTTAATTTCAACATATGCTGTCATTTCTATTTACGACCAAATCTCAAAAGTAATTTCACATTGACAAATTTTAAGTACCCAAGTCTTCAAATACATCAAAATTATAAATATTCATACCTTATCCAAGAATTTCTACGAGAGAAATAGCATGAATTTAATGATCAAAATTGCATTCAAATGTGCATTCAAATGATAGTAATAAAGAGTAGGATAATAATAATAAATACTATTCATTAAATTATAGCCCATGTTACGAATTATGTGTGCTATTCAGTTTCATTAAAAGTAAATTCCTTTCATGAAAAACGTAATTAAAAAACAGAACAGAACTTCAACAGGAGACAAAACTGTCTAGGCTCTTGACTGTTTTAAGGATATTTCACTATATTTTTTCCTTCTTGGAATTCATAAGAGCATTTTCTCAAAAGATTAATCTTTTATTACTTATACAAAGCTTACACCATTGAATTGACTATTGTGACTATCTTAAATAAGTGAAAATAATTTTTTCTTTTTTCTTTAAAGTAATATTTTTACTGTTTAAAAAAAAAAAAAAAAAAAAAAAAAAAAAAAAAAAAACAGCAGATTCTTGATATTCATTTGATGTTTTAGTAAAATTAATTCATGAAGTTTGTTTGGAAAGAAAATCAGCATTTGAAGCAAATAGCAATACAATATTTTCAGCTTTTTCAATAAATTTATTCTTAAATACAAAAATAATTAAACAGGAAAAAAATTATAGACAGAAAGAAAGTAATAATAATAATTTACACAGAAAAAATAAAATTTTTGCAATCATGCATTTTTTAAAGAATTTTCACAATAAAATGAAAAATATTAAATTGGATCAATCATCTACAGGATCATACACAGCATGCATAATCCTGAGCTTAACTTTCGCTTTACGAGTTTCATCCATATATTTCAATATAAATTGAAAAACTCATTAAAAATGCATTAAAAACTCATTAAAAAAGCATGTCATCATCGTAGATTTCTTGCAAGATCAACTCTTTATTTTGTTTGGATACGATTACAACTTATTATTTCGTTCGGATACGATGTGTTCCATATTAAAAAAAACGTCGCCTTCGATGTGACAGCGAAATCGTCTAAAGAAAGTCGCTTCGTTTTAGCTTTGCTCTGATTGGTCGACGCTTATCCCAAACGCGGCGTAAAGTTAAAAACTTTGAACCCTATGCCACGAGCCCTAAACCAGATTCTGTGACGTAGCAGAGACTGGTTGCCTTGGCAACGGAGCTCGGCTTTAACCACTTATGCCGCTTACACCCTCGTCCCCATATCACCAAAAATAAAATCTGTGACAAAAAGCTGTAGGTCCATCAGTCTTGAGTTAATACTTCCTGGTCTGAAATCATGAAATTCTTGGGGGATTCCATGGCTTTACAACATAGTACCATAGCTCCCATTACATATCCTATTGTCCTAGTAGATTACTGGTCTCTCTGCTTTCAATTTTTCAGATTTTACAAAAGAAAATTGCTTCCCAGCCATCGATGAAATTTATCGAATTTCTGAAATTTAAACTTTGCAAATTTCATTTCCCCACCTTTTCTGATTTTCAGTGTAATTTCAGTTGTGTGTCGGGCTTAGCATCTGCCACTTGAAGATGGTCCCTATCAGAATGTTGTCAAATATTGCCCAGCGCATAAATAGGAACAAATATTTTTACAAAAATATAATATTTTTATATTATTTTTACAAAATATATAGTTGTATATATATGCATAATTTTTAAGTATTTTTACAAAAAAATAATCCGTAGCTATGTAAAAACTTATCACTGATGCTGGTATGACTGCGTCAATGAGTTGGCTTTTGCCCTGAGAACAGCCAAGTGCAATACCATGGGAAAAACTCCTTGTGAATTATTTTTGCGGAGAAAAATAATTAACACCTTAGACAAACTGTTCTTTGACCAGAAAAGGGAGGTAGAATTTATAATAAATGATATTCAAAGAAAGAATAGAAGAGGCACTAAGGAACTCAGACCTAGCCAGAGCAAAACAGAAACTGTATTGTGACAGGAGCAGAAGAGGTTTTGATCTTAAAGGCGGGGATAAAGTTCTTAAATTGGAACATTCTTTGTCTTGAACCCTCACAACAGAAAGTATCTAAATTTTATCCTTGTTTTGAAGGTCTGTGTATCATTAAGCATATTTGTGGTTCGGTTTTATACTTAAAAGGAGAAAGAGCAGGCAATATCATGGCTAATGTGGATCAAGTCAAACAATACTATGGCCAAAATGATATACCTGTTTTTAAAGATATTTTACAGGAAGCATCGAGCACTGGAGAAGGGTCCTCAGTGTCGAAAATGGTTCTGCCAGGAACAAAAAGAAAAGAGTCCAGAGTGGTCGAGCCAGGAGAAAAGAAATTGTGACAGAATGATCCAAGAGTTGTTCCTCTCTTACCATTAATAAATGAAAACTATAGCCAGCGGTAAGAGAGGAACAAGTCAGTGAGAAAGGAAGGCGAAACAAGACCCTATACAAGATCTACCAGCTAGCGAACAGGGAAGGAAAAGCAATTAAGACATCACAGGTCATGAATCCTGTCACCAAGGAAGGAGGTCAAGGACAAGACAGCAATGCAAGTTCTACAGTGGAAACACAGGGTAGAAGAGGAATATCCCAGGTTCAAGAAGCTATTGAGAAATCAGAGCTCAGACGACTGACCAAGGAACTTTTTTGGCCGCAGCCTACAAGTGTCCAGCACAGGTAAAGTTGGAGCAACGGCAAAAGAAAGTAGCTTGCCATAGAAGAGTGAAAAGCAAGCATGACTGATTTAAGAATGACAAGAACAGCTGATCTGAAAGTTTTATTCTGAATGAATGTAATAGCAGTAAATAACCAAACAGTGTCTACTGGATCTTGAAACAGTGCTTAAAACCAAATTTGCATTGAAAGTGAAAAATCTATTGCTTTAGCTTTCTTGGTATTTTCAGCTTGGCTTCATTTTTTTACTTGTAAAATTCATAACTGCTTCTTACTTCTTTCATATATTATTTAGTCTAGCATTATCCATATTTTTATCTGCAAATGTTCTTTAATAATGTTATGTAATGTACAATAGAAATTTAATTTACTGTGTTTTTAAACAAAATATTATTCATTTATTAGTTAATCTGTAATCTATTATTATTATTATTATTATTATTATTGCTCTATATTTACTTGAAACTATCTTTTCATCAAATACCATTATTAGAAATTAAGTCCAAACATGTAAGGTTTCACCAACTCCAGGTCTAAATATAACTTAGTATCTAAATACAACTTTAATCCTTAGAAAAAGTGCATTAGTTGGAAGAGCAAAATGTTGGTTATTTAAGGGACGTAATTTTCAAAACTAAGAATAATTGTTTTCCCAAGAAGAGTGTTTTTTGTTTTGTTAAGTGACAAATGCATTAAATAAAAAAGTTATTTCATCTTAAAATGGCCTAGTGACTTTTGGGTATGTTTAATGTTCAGAATAATAGTGCAAGATTTAAAGCAAATGAATAGATTCTTGTTTTAATTTATTCAGCTCTCTTTGGTTGATAGGTCCTTTTCTTTTTTTGTTGTTGATGATGATTGTCTTTAATTTCATGTAAAGAAATGAGTATGGAACCTGTCACACAGATGTCTCTCCTAAATCAGGTAGCCCTAACTAGTTTACTAAATCAAAATATGGTTTCTCAGGGCATCCAGTCATAAGTATCCATAGCAGACTGTGTTCAAATGTTAAAGTACTCTGGAATACATTCAAAGGAAATTTTACATTTTCACATTTAAAAATTTAGAATAATGAGTAAACTTGTAATCTTATGGATGCATTTCTGGAATATATTCAAAGGAAATTTTACATTTTCACATTTAAAAATTTAGAATGATGTGTAAACTTGTAATCTTATGAATGCATTTGTGAGCAAAATGTCAAAAATGTTTTAGTTTATTCAAATTTATTTTTCTGAAAGAAGTATCCTGTATTACAGAAATTAATTCAGATGATAAGTAAATAGTAAATAGTTGGCTTCACATTTGTTTCAATTTTACTTTCTGCTTTTCTCCAGTATCTAAATTATTACACATTTTTTTCTAATTTTAACAAATTAAACCTTTGTCCAGTTAAATATACACTCTTTTGCAAAAAAATCGAAGCACCGTGAAGGAAGTGGTTGTTTTTGATGAAACTGAATATGTGTGTAGCTCATACACAGATAATAAAATGATAAAAAAAATCAAGGTCATAGTATCTGTTCAGAGCTCACAATCACCCAATGAGTGTTCAAATTAGTAACTGGTCGAACCACCCCTGGCGGCAATGCATGCTTGAATTTGTTGAGGCTAGGAGGAGTTGAGGTTTCTAATGTCATCCTGCAGCACATTCTGTCAGGCATTCATCAGTTGTCGCTCCAGATGTGCGATATTTTATGGTGCCCGAATCTGGCAGCCTCTCATTTCCCAAATATGCTCGATTGTGAAAGGTCTGGTGACCTTGCTGGCCAAGGAAGATTATCAACCGCATGGAGACAGTCCAGAGGTATGAGAGCAGTATGTGGCCAGGCATCAATCATCTTGTTGGAACAGATACAGCAGTTGGTAAGCTGCTTTTCAATAAATTCACCACTGGAATTGACACCCTTGTTATACCATACCAACTTTTGTATTCCTCTGCTGAAGAATTCTGTTGCCTGGAATGGGAACCAAAATGTTATATCCATCTGTACCTCTTCATCGTACTGAAAATGCCGATCAAACAGAAATTTCTTTAAGTATTAGAAAAGATAGAAACCTTAGGCAGAATTTTAGTGGAAGATATGTTATGCGTTTAGCATTATGTGGGTGAGCATTATTTTTTTGGATTTATGAGTAATGGTCGACATTCACTTTTTCACTACTAGCTCGGAAGTCAATGAGCAGAATGCCCTTTCTGTCCCAGAATATTGTACACACCAGTTTTGCAGACAGTCTGCTTGAATTTTGTCTTGAACACAGATACACTGTGATGCCAATGGATTGATTTCTGCTTTGTTTCTGGGCCAGAGTGAGCAACCTATGTCTTGTTGCCTTCGGTGATCCTGTCATGGAATTCGTCCTTGTCATCATCGTGTTGCTGCAGAAAAGTTCAGATCCCATGTTCAGATACTAAGCTGCGTGGCACCTGTCAGAAGAAGATGCATTATCAAAATTTTGTGCAGCAAAGACTGAGATATGTGTGGGAAAATGGCTGCTAAATTTCATAATTGTGAAATAACAGTTCTTGAAAATGCTTTGCCACACATGTTGCACAGGGTCATTATTGATGACTAATAGTTGCCCAGTGTAATGAAGCCTTCAAAAATTGCCTGCATGTTCATGACATCAGACCTACAAACCTGAGACAGCGAATGATGAATTTCAGTTGGTACTACCTTTTATGCATTCAAAAACTTTATGAGACCTAATGTAGCACTTGGTGGGTGGAAAATAAGAGGCAACATTTTAAGCTGTTATAATTGCAATACAAAGAGGCAACTGCTGCATATTGCGGCCAGTCCTAACTGTCAGGCATACACATTTGTGTTTTACAATTCATGGCATGCAATCTGTTGTCAGTGTGGGAACATTAATTTTCTTGATATGCCTCATATAAATGCAGACTTAAAATAATCTAAAAGTTACTGTATACTGACTATCTTGTAATTTATTAATGCAAAGCAACATAGCTTATTTTGCTGGATTTATTTGTACCATTTACACTGTTTCTTTGAATGTTACTGTAACATTTAAAAATTGTGATATTGTCCAAAAGTAATGCAATGGACACAACTTTAATTTTCATATATATTTATGATTTTCTTGCCTTTAACTACTCATTCTTAATCATTAAAAGAGACTCTTTCCATGATGCAGTGGCTGCTAAAGAACTTTTATGTTCTTATACAGTTCTTTTGTTTTGCTTGTTTCCTTTGTTGCACCTTTGATAAGTTTGTATTCAAAAGCTTTGCATTCTTTTGAATATGTATATTTTCTTTATTTTTGAAATATTTTAAACTTTATCATAAAAAAATTGTTTACTGCTATTGTTTTCGCATTTTCTACTAAGAATTGTATAAAGTTTTTTTGTAACCTATACATGTGCGTAAATAAATTTTGAATTATGTCTTGTTAGGTACTGTTTCATTTGTGCAGTGGAATGAACGGTATGAGAAGCTTACATCTTGTGATACTAATGGCTTTATTATGGTATGGATGGAGCATAAAGGTTAGTAATTTTATTAAATGTCTATCTCTTTTCATGGTAACTCAAATTTGATAAGTTGAATATATATTTAAAACTTTTATGAAATCTTAGGTCTGTTTTATTATTATTATTATTTTTAGAGTGTTAAGCTTTTTTGTCAAGTCAAAATTGCCATTTTTCTGAAGTCTTTGAAGCTTGTGTTATGAACATTTTTATACCCTTTCAGAAATGTTCACTTTTAAAATTGAGTTGGTTGGGAGGAGTTGGTGTCTGGTTTGGTTCTAATCCATTTTTTATCCGCTTGCTCAATTTTTGCAATTCTTCCCATTCTAATTTTGCATGCTTTCGAGGGGGAGTAAACTGTGTGGCCTTCATTTGAATTTAATATTACCAGGTTTTAAATATTTGGATTTAAGCCTTAAAATGTTAAAGTGGAAATACAACAATCCAAATTTACATCAAAAAGAGGATTTAATTTGGTATATTAAGCAGGATTCTACTTTGAAGATCAAATAAAGAATTTTTTTTCATTCTGGGTATGATGCAAAAACAAGCTATGTTTTCACCTTTGAAGAATCCAGATGCACATGCTAGAATTATGGCTCTTTAATTAACTGAATGTATTATTAAATACAGTACAAAGTCTGTAATCCGGACTTGTTGGGACTTCGGCGATTCCGGATTAGGGGTTTTTCCAGATTATAGATCATCAGTTTAAATCAGGTAAGATGGCATGCAGAAATTATACAGTTTAAAATATGAAACCGTAATTTATGAAATAAAGAGCAAGTATGATCTAAAGGGTATCAAAATTTACAAAAAAAAAAAAAAGCTTAATATTTATTTGTTTACTTTAGTAACCATTTCTATCAATGTAAGTTGTTTCAGTTGCTTCATTTTTTTTGTGATAATTCTTTCTCTTTAATTCTATAAACAGACATAATTTCTTGTTCAGTTACAAAGTCCCACTGTTCAAGTCCTGTAATTGCTGTGTCGAGAATACCGACTAACTTGTCAATCAAAATTTTTTCATTTTCAATAACGTTCTGTGTTACTTTCTTCACTATCGAAAGCGCACATGGGTAAACGCTTTACTGGCTTTACGGGCATGTGTAGTGAATGTGCATAAACTTATGCATACGCACATCAAATGCGCATGCATAAGTTTGTGGCTTTGAGGTCCGGATTATAGATCATTCTTGATAATGGACGTCCGGATTACGGACTTTGTACTGTATTTCTTTAATGGTCTGCTTTGAAAAATTAAATTTTTATATTATTGTAAAACTATTTACTGGATAAAATACTGCCACGTCCTTCTTTCATATCAGCCCTGTTGAATTGAATTTGTTGAGAGTTCATTACGTTTATATATACAAAAACACACAAGAATTTTGCACAGTTGAGCATAAAGAGCTTTCATTAACACTGGAATTATGGGAATAGGCATTTTGACTTATCTCCATTTTAATTGGACGTAACGTTTTTAGTTCTTTATTTATAACTTTGATATTTTTTGACTTTTTCTAGAAACTTACATGATATTTTTTTTGTTCATTTCTAGTAATTATTTTCAACAATATTATTGTTTATACAGTCAAAAGTCGTTAATTCGGACACCCATAATCCGGAATGATCTATAATCCGGACCTCAAAGCTACAAACTTTCTGCGCATGCGTCGCGTTGACGGCTGCGAATTTGCGTGTGCGCAAAATACGTTTACAAATGCGCGTTTAATGTATAACAGACGGTATAAGCTAAGCTAAAATTATCTAATCTAATAATTGGGGTGATTTTCTGAAGGTCAGGGGTAATTTTATCAGTTAGCTGTTTGGTTTTTCACTAGAGCATTTCTCTTTTTCATTCAAAGAAGTTTTGTTAGCACTAAGTTTGGTTGATCTTTACATTATGGTAACATGGCGATTTTTTGGCGAAAATTTGGCAACCAACTCTCCTACAGCAACCCTCTATTTTTTTTCCCCCGCCGCCATTTTGTCTTCACGAAGTAAAGACATGTTTCTTTTCTTTTTATCTACTGAACACTTCTTCCAACAATCTACTAGCCGAATTACACTTATGCTAGAAATTTTATCAAACAAAACTTATTAATCATGACAAATATTCACTGCAAAATTGGGAAAAAGTGCACAATACCATACTCCTTACGCGTTTTTCAAAATAACACACACATAAACCATGTACACGCCGACTTATTTTTACTTAAAAAAACATCCCAGAATTGCACAAAAATGGCATTGCGCACACTCTTCACTATATCCATGTACACTGCTTTTTTCTCATAAATTAGAAAAATTTCACGAAAATACATGACAATTTTCTCAATCTTTAAACCCGGTAAAAGAACATATATGAAAATTACCTGATCGCGAAAAAGTATTTACCCTTTACAAATATGAACATTTCCACATATAAAATAAATAAAATATCCAAAAACTTTTACCTCTAAATCATCTATTACATTATACACGTCACCAACGATTTCATACCGCAAGCATTACAAATACTTAGTATCAAATATTTAAATTATTTCCATGCACGTTTACTTCAACTTAAACGTATACCAAATTCCTACAAACATAAAATTCACAAAATAACTATCATTTCATTAAAATATAATTAAATTCAAAAACACTACTTAAAATATAAATGAGCACATACATTAAATTAATAAAAATTACCTTACTATCCTAATTACTTTAAACTAAATCATTGCTAATAACAATTTCCCAATAATACCAAATTCCTTTCCACCTTACATTTAGAACAATGCATAAAAATAATATCCTCAAATAATTAAAAATACTAACTTACCTAATCTTCTTCAGAATCTTGATTACGTGGCGGATACACTTTTCTAATTCATTCAAAACTATTGAAAGATTTTTCTGCGAATTTTTCCTCCATATTTCCTCCGCTAAATAAAAGCAAACTTCTCTTTATCACAATGCCTAAATACCCATTTCGAATTCACTTTAGTTAGGGCCATGGGATCCAAAAATTAACAAACACTGTTTCACACAACACAGAATAAAGCTAAATACAAAATTTCCAGATTTTTTCCCGATTTTCCCCCTTTTCCGATTAAAGAACCGTAATTCGTCCATTAATATCACATGACATATCCCATGATCTCTCATTTCCCTCACGCAAAATAATGCGTAATCGGAACTGAGTACTGCTCACATTATTACCAAAGTCCCAGGTAGTAACCTTTATCGCCAAACTACCAGTTACCATATTGTAAAGATCAAGGTTTTGATAATTTTAAGTTGTAGAAGTTTATTTAATTTTATAGTTTAAATTTTCTAATTGCAGATATAACATTAGTTAATTCACCCCCCCCCCCGATTTCTAATTATTTTGTAAATGGATGGGAGAGGGCTGACCATTTCTGAAGCACTGAAAGTGGTACATGTGCAAAACATGCAATGTTGGGTTGTGCATTTTCAAAGGTGGTGTCACTTTCTTCGAAAAGTATCACCATGGAAAAAAAAAAAAAAGACAAAGCGTAAATATGAAATGTAAATACAGTCAAAATTCGTTAATTCAGACACCCATAATCCAGAATGATCTATAATCCGGACCTCAAAGCTACAAACTTTCTGAGCATGCGTCGAGTTCACGTATGCGCATAGACGTTTACGCATGCGCCTAAGACCTTTACGGCTGCAAATTTGCGTGTGCGCAAAATACGTTTACGAAAGCTCGTTTGATGTATAACGGACGGTATAACCTAAGCTAAAATTATCTAATTATCTATTTCAATTAATGTTGCAGATTGCGCTGTTCCTTAATCTTCGAATTGGATCCGGCTTATTATTTTTTGCAGACTGTTAGATCAATTTTATAAAAGTAAGTTTGAACTTTCGATTATGTCAAATAGAATTTCCGATATATATTTACTAATATGTAAAGGATCTACAAAGCGAAAGTATGTTTCGAAGTCCATTAAACAGAAAGTGGAATTGCTGCAAAAAATGGATAAAGGCATATCCTTTGATTATCTAATCTTTAACGAAATTTGTTTATCTAAACTTTCACGCTTATCGGGGAACGACACGGCGCGCAATGAATTGGAAGTTGATCTGTCAGCACTATCCTTATCTTCAGGGCAGATGTTTTTATTTTATTTGGCTTATAATTCTTACTAATGTAAATGTAGTATTTCATCTCGATATGCTTCGGTCTTTGATATGATTTAAATCAAGTTCCTCAGTCATTATAATTCGCTTCCGATAGTGAAGAAAGTGACTCAGAGGTTATTGAAAACGAAAAAATTTCGATTGACAAATTAGTCGGTATTCTCGACACAGCAATTATAGGACTTGAACAGCGGAACTTTGTAACTGAACAAGAAATTATGTCTGTTTAATAGAATTAAAGAGAAAGTATTATCACATAAAAAACGAAGCAAATTAAACAACTTACATTAAAAGAAATGTTTAATAAAGTAAACAAATAAATATTAAGCTTTTTTTTTTTTATTTATTTTTTTTTGTAAATTTTGATACCCTTTAGATCATAATTGTTCTTTATTTCATAAAGTACGGTTTAATATTTTTAATTTTATATTTTCTGCATGCCATTTTACCAGATTTAAACTGATGATCTATAATCCGGAAAAATCGATAATCCGGAATCGCCGAAGTCCCGACGAGTCTGGATTAACGACTTTTGACTGTACCTAGAATTATGGCTTTTGGTCATTTTGACTGCATCCAGAAAATTATAGATTTTTAAATATTTGTCTGGTTTGCTGATAGATAAAGAAGTGTATTTTTGGTAAGGAAGGTTACATATTTCACAGAAGTGAGTAGGGAGGGGAGGAGGGTTGAATGAAAATATCTGTTTGGAATTTTTTGGAATTTTTGCGTGCCACATGTTTGCAGATTTTGCTTGCGTTAGAAAGTTTATTTTTCAGTAGACACAAATGTACTTTGCGTCATTTGGATAGTTTTGTTGTTCTGATCTGTTCATGTCGTGTAGATGCGTTGGTAGAACATATCTAATGAAAGAAGGGATGCTGAAAATTTTTGAAAGTCTTTCTGATGTTAATTCTGCTTCAGAAACTGAACCCGATGAAAAATTTTATACTGAAACTACATCCAGTTTATCCGACAAGGACTAAATTGTTCCTACTGAAACAAGTGAATCCGATTCATCTGGAGAACTTGTTCAGAAAACTTAAAAGGAAAATAAAAATTTAGATCTAGATCCCAAAGACTGCAAACTGATCCATTTGCCCTTGTTTTTGATATCTGGAATGCTTTTATAGAAAACTTGAAGTGTTATAAACCAGAAGAAAATATAAATAGTGGATGAACAATTATTTCCCATGAAGACCCGATGCTGATTTATTCAGTATATGCCTAAAAAGGCCTGACAAATACCACATTAAATTTTGGCTTGCTACTTATGTGCAGTCAAAATATTTACTGAACAGATTTCCCTATTTGGAAAAAGACGAAACAAGACCAGCTGGAGAAGTAGTAGGTGAACATTCAGCTTTTCGCTTGATGTAACCTGAAATTAGTTTAAGAAATGGGGAATTCAGGGATAAGCTGCATTGGCACAATAAATCATTCAAAAAGAGAAGTATCCTTATTTTTTCAAAAATACAAGGTGTGAGCTCTGTTCTAGTAAGATTGCTAAGCATGACATTATAATGCATTCATTTTATCAAGGAAAAAAAAAAAACGAGAACATCCTGCTCCTGAGTACCATGCACTCAACATTGGAAATTGCGTCTGATGAAACAAATACACCGGGAGTTGTGAATTTTTACAATTCGACCAAGTATGCAGTTGTTTTGGACGCGACAGTCAGAAAATACTCAGTGAAATCCTCATCCAATTGTTGGTCAGTCCAACTTTTTTTTTTTAACATTCTTGATTTGGCTGTGATAAATGCATGGATAATTTACTAGGAAACAATTGCATATAAGAATATTGAGCGTCATTATTCTATTTTGAATACGGCTGAGAAGCTTTGAAAAATGTACATTTCATCCAAAATTTAAAAACTTTCTGTATATAATGAAAAGAGAATTGGTACTTGCAACAAAACTGTTGAATACAGGTGAATTCTGTAAAAAAATTGTTTGTGGAACATGTACAGATAAAATTAAAAAAATGAATAATATGTATGCACTGCAAAAGAGTAATGTAAATAGTAATATGTATAATTTTCAGTATAGTTATTTAACATTGAAAATTTTTATGAGGCAGTTTTTTAAATGATAAGAAGCTTACAAACATCTAGAGTGATTTTAGCTCTTTGTCATATTAAATTAGCCTTTGATTAATGCATTTACTGACCTTACTTTGCTCTTTGTTACATTAAATTATCTTTTGGTTGCATGTATTTACTCAGTTTACTTCATTTACTTATTAAACAAGCAGAAGGTATCATTATAAGCATAAAGTTTACATAACATTAGCAAAATGTGAGCCTTTTCTTCTATTCAGAACAAGCGGTTAAAATGACCACTGATCGTAGTTATAGGTATACGGAAAACACCGTAATGCTAGTGGTAATGTAAAGCTAAAATTTTATTTTTGGAATTCTTTTAACTCAATCATTTATCTTATTAGAAATATTTAAAGTACTTATTTTTAGGTATATGGTACGAGGAGATGGTAAATAACAGGCAGAAGTCATTGGTGAAAGGAATGGCGTGGAACCATGATGGTTCGAAGATAGCCATCACTTATGATGATGGTAAATATATACACTTTTATTTTTGGAAATTTGTTATTTTAGTATTCATTTTTATTTTAATCCTGTTTTGTCTCATATTAAAAAAAAATCTCTTTTAGGAGTTATAATTGTTGGTTCTGTTGATGGGAACCGGATATGGGGCAAAGAACTGAAAGGATTGAATCTAACATGTGTTGAAGTAAGTATTTCATTAGGACATGAACTAGATATCTTTCTGCTTATTTTATATATTCAAATGAGTAAATAGTAAAAATACCTTGGGTTCTTTCTTACACAAACTATGTTTTAATCATAATATTTTAGTGTAATATGTAATTGTATTTTAAATTTGAGATTTTAGTAACAAAATGTGCTTTAGTAATGAATTTTATTCGTATTAACCACTACTGGAAATTTTAATTTGGCACTAGGGTAACTTCAGCAGTGGTCTAAATAATTGCAATTCATGTTAGTGATCTGAATATTGGGGACTCAGATTCTTCAGTTTCAGTAATTTCAGAAATAATTGTTCAAATGTGCACACATTTTAACTTTCATATCTAGTTCTTGGCAACATTTTTCTGTTTGATTACACGTTAGAGCTGATATGATCAGTTAACTTGCTTCAGTTTTCTACTACTGGTTTTACTATTTTTCTTTTTACTTTGCAATGTTTTAGTTCTGGAGTATTTTTTCCTTTCCTCATGTGCAGTTTTATTGTATGGGGACTAGAACATTCTGAAATGTATGGCAGTACTTTGTGATCCTGTAAAAAAAAAAAAAAAAAAAAAAAAAAAAAAAATTGGATAGCTACTGTTTCATTATTTGGAAAATAAAAAGGAATATAGAAGAAAATTGCAAATTTGGAACATTTCAGAGGTCATGTAATAAAACCGAGTACATGGTTGAAAGGATATGGAAAAGGTAATTGCATAATTCAGACATGTAAAGCTATTTATTGACAAGCTGTTATCATATTTTGGTGCCAACTTATAGTTCCCAGCAGTGGTTAATACACACTGAAAATTCCTCCAAGTGGTAACTAATGTTTTGAAATGAATTTCAGTGGTCACCAGATGGAAGACTCCTGCTGCTTGGTTGTAACACTGGGGAGGTGCATATATATGAATTTGGTGGAGCCTTTGTAGTATGTTTTTAAGTATTTAATTAATTAATTAATTTTTCTTAGTAAACAGTAGCAGTTTTCATTGCATTTTATTATAAAGAGTATGAAGGGGCAGGCAGGTACTATTTCTACCATGGTAAATTCACCAATTAGATTTTTTTCTGTTATAGGACAAACATGCACCAGATAACTTTGTTTGAAAGATATGTGGCCAAGGTACTTGTTGTACTTTAATTCAATTCTTATTTAATATGAATTTATGTTGAGATACATTAAAAAGAAGATCTTAGCCAACATTGCTGCTTATTGGCTACTTTTAAATTAAATGCGTTATTTTTATCTTTTAAATGGTGTTATTCAATATAATAGCTTTATATGTGTCGATGCTGTTTAAATCAGTATTTGTTTTCTGATCTTTCGTCTCGCACCTTGAAGCAACATGTATGATTTTTTCTTTTAAATTCATGTTAAGAATGTAGTCTTATGCATATATGTCAATGGCTTACTTGTCAAGTATTTCTAAATGTTTTGCTGTTACTGAATATTCTTCAACTGTGAACTCAGCTTGCAGTGCATAAATTAAAATACAAAAGAATTGTGGTGAATTAGGGATATTCTTTTTATTATTTTATGCAGAAATAAAATCAAAATTGATTTTGTGAAAAAGTAAGGTTAATCCAAAAAAGCTACCTGACTCCCTTAAGAAATTGGAAATTTATTTGAATGTTTGTTCAGCAACACGATACTTATTCCAACCAAGATATTTCGCTTTTTCCTTAGCTTTCCTTTCAGCATTTAATTATTTAGGAATAAAATATTTAAATCTATTATTGATACTCGCATGTTAATGCAACAAACTTGGCCCAATTTGCTGATTTAGTATAGATGAAAAGACATGAGTTATTGAACAGGTACAACTTGGTGATGATGATTTTAATGACATTTTTTAAAAAGATTATCAAACTATCAATATTTATGATAATTTGGCAAACATTTTCAACATGTATCAGAAGAAAATGGGATTTAAAATACAAATTTAAATTATTAAATAAGGATTATATAATACATTAGAAAAGTAAAATGAATTTCTCATGAAATTCTGTAATTTATTTTCCCTGTTCTCCTTCTCATGTATGCAGCGGTCTGTTTTCACTTAAAAGAGTTACAGAATTGCACAAACTTATTATGCCCTAACTATCTCTCAGAGACATATCATCATTGCTCATAATATTGATTTTGCAGTAAAATGCTGCATTCCTGCTGAAATTTTACCTTAATTTGTTCCATTGCTGGGAAATTGCACATGTGCTGTATATCCACATATTTTGAAGTTTTATATCCACATACTTAAAATTCAATTTAATGTAAAAATTATGATTTGTTGATAAAAACTGTCCAAACTTTTAATATGACAAAAAGAATGCATACAAAAATGGCGATCTTGTTTGACTGAAAGATTGTTATGAGTACAATTGCCTGAGTTTGGTACATCCTTAAAATTGGACAACTTCTACTAAGGTGTTTGCAATAATACATAAGTGTTGTATTATGATATGAACATATTATAATGACCTGAAATTAAAATTGTAGTAAGCAGACTTAAAGGAAGGAAAGAGTTTTGATACAAAGTTACTAAACATTATGATGTTTTGTCAGAACACAGATTTGTGACCCCAGTCTGCAGTTTTGGATATTAACTTATTAATTTATAAGTTGTAATGAAGGGATATATTATAAATTTTATTAGCCCAGAAGGGCTATTAATTTCACAGCAGCATTTTGCATCGATTCACTTTTCAAGCTGTTGCCACCAAATATTAGTGCCATGTATTATATTTAAAAAACTAAATAATGAAGAATGTGCAGGAATGTCTCTTGCATTGTGAAGAAACAATGGTACCTAGAACCATCTAATCCAACGAACATGGGCACTTGGAAGCCCAAATTTTGAATTTGTTTTGTTATCTATTTAAAAATCTGTAAACCTTTAACAAATTTTTGATTAACAAACTCAACGATTTCAAAGTGAGAAACTATGGAAAAAAACCACTATGGAAGTTGTCCAATTTTAAGGATGTACCAAACTCAGGCAATCGTACTCGTAACAGTCTTTCAGTCAAGCAAGACTGCCATTTTTGTATGCACTCTTTTTATCATATTAAAAGTTTGGTGCACCACTATGGAAAAAAAAACATTTTTATTTCCAGCATGCAAGACTGTGTATCAGAAATTCTAAAGATATACTGTTTTGCTGTTTTTAAATATTTTGTGATATTGCTGTTGAATTGAATTTTTTGTAGTTTAAGTGCAAAGAACATGATATTTAATCAATAAAGGTAACACACCAAACGTTAAAAAAACACCCTTTTGTGCATAATATAAAATCCGAAAGCTTTCAGACTTTTTAAAAATTTATTATAGGAATATCAAAGCTCCTTTCTACTAAACTTGTAATCTTCTGTTGTAGGTAAGTGCACATTATGATATATTTGTAGCAGACCCCAAACAGAATGTGCTAAACACTGTTGCAGAACAATAAAGGAAGCCTCCCTCCCTCCATAAAAATGATTATTCAGATCAGTCCATGAATGAATCTATCCCAAATTTTTGTAAAATATTTGTACGAGGGGTGATCCAAAAAAAAGTTTACAAAGCAAATGAAAAAGTATTTATTAACAATAGAAACAAGATACAAATGGGAATCAAGAGACACATCTGGCCTTCACTTTCCCACATAGTCGCCAAACCTGTTTAGGCATTTGTCAGAACGTTCGACCAACTTGTTTTATCCCGTCTAGGTAGTAATCAGGGCCCTGCTCATTGAGCCATTTCCCGGCAGCTGTTTTCACTGCATCTTCTGAGGTGAACCGTGTTCCGGATAAGTATTACTTCAACGTCGGAGAAATGAAATAGTCACTTGGAGCCAAATCGGGGCTGTATGAGGGTGATTCCAGACCTCCCACTTGAACTTTTACAGCAATTCCTGAGTTAGGCGATCTGTATGGGGCTTGGCATTGCCATGTAGAAGAATGACGCCTTTGCAAAGTAATCCAGGCCGTTTGCGTCAGATGGCTTTACGCAAATTCGTTAAGGTGGGACAATAATGATCGTCCTTAATGGAATGGCCATGCTCCAAATACTCGATTAGAATAACACCAGTCCTATCCCAGAAAACGGTTGCCATCACTTTACCGACAGAGGGTGTGACCTTAAACTTCTTCCTCGTAGGTGATCCAGCGTGTTTCCACTTCATCGTGGCTCTTTTGGATGTGGGGGTGAAGTGATGAAGCCATGTTTCATCACCGGTAACGATGCAATCAATGAAGTGTTGGCCGTCTGAATGGTATCGCTGAAGAAATGTGAGGCTGCACATCATTCGAGTGGCCTTATGCTCCGTGGACAACGCACGTGGAACCCAGCGGGCACAAACTTTGGAATATCGCAACTCATCGGTTACGATACGCTGAACGTTACCATAACTCAGGTCCAACTCTGAGGCAATCTCACGCACGGTTACTCGTCGATCCCTTTGGATGATTTCTTCAACACGTGCCGTGTTGATATCCGTCCTTGAAGAACTTGGACGGCCGCTCGCTTCCATATTGCGGTTTTCCACATGCTCCCTGCCCGCTTGATAAGAATGACACCATTTCGCTACCTGTTGTCTACTCATTGCTTTGTCCCCGTATACCTCAACGATTTGTCTGTGAATTTCGGATGCGGCCACATTCTTGGCCCATAAGAATCAAATTACAGCTTTCATCTCTGTGAGACCACTTTTCTAGACGTTGTGCCAGTACTGTCACTCTTAAGTGTCTGCGTACTGACGCTATGTACTCGTAGAACTGCTGTAGGACAACTAGCGCCATCTGTCAACCACCCTGGGTGGAAATATTCGCCACAAACTCGTAGAACCGCTATAGGACAATTATGCCATCTGTCAACCACCCTGTGGAAATTCGTTCCAAATTATTATGCTTCTGCTTGTAAACTTTTTTGGATCAACCTACGTATTTATGTATGTGCATTACTGAATCTTTTCTACATTTTATGCTCTCCAAATTATATTTTATGTAATTAAAAATATATGAACTTGTCCCTAAATAAAATTGTGCTATATTACTTGCAGAACATTTCCAAGCTTCTTGCAGAACAACGCAAAGTATTTGGCATTTGCATATGAGGTTTTATTGAAAAATTGGTTTGTATTTGGATTACCCATAGCTGAAAGCACAAAATCCATTCTAGCTAGTCTGTTCTCCTCCTGAGATCCAATATATGTATGAACTGCCAATGTTTACTTTTTAGTAGCCAGAGGCCGAAATAGACTGCTAAAATAATTAATTGTACCATAGCTACCCAAACAAAATCTATTAATAGCTTACAGAGACATTTTGATGTTAGAGCAAAAATCATGTAACATTTCTGGTCATAATTGTTGTGCAGCTCCTTAAACTATGCAATTATTATAAATGCACTATATATATTCTTGTCACAGGTAATAATTACAAGTGAATGTTAATTAAATATATCAATAACTAAATTTGTTAACAATTAGGAAGATACGTAGTAATTGGAGATTTTTAGAATCATGTTAAAATATTTTTGCTGAGACTGCTAGGATATGTTTGTGCAATAATCAGTGAAGCTTTTTGGGGAAAAAAGAGCTATTAAAATACTTAGCTGTTGTGAATTTTGTAGTTTATAAATTGCTTGCCAGTTTTTTAAAATTATGTGTAAAACATTGAAGAGCATAACATCAGCAATGCATTTAAGGCAAATAAAATTGTATCAATTAATGGAAACAGTACTGGAAAACTTTCTGAAAATGGTTAGATGAAAACTTCATGTATTATTCATAGTGGACATGAAAGTGTTTCATTATTAAGAAGTGAAGAATTTATATTAAATGTTTTAGGAATGTAGTTTATCCTTTGCTAGAAAAATTTCATTTTATAACTGTGAACAGTGTTCCTACATATTTGGATAATCCTAGAAAATAAGGGAAATGGAAAATAGTCAGAGAAGGTCAGTAAAAACATAAACATTTTTTTAAATTCAGAAAATTTGGAACTTTTCCAAAAGAATCGGGAAATTTTTGCAGATTAGTCCTTTTAAGTATTATTAAGAAATTCATATTTTAAATACCAACCTGTAAATTTGCCTTTGTATAAAAGGAAGAATTAATGTTATCATCTTTTTTTTTTTTCACTCATGTCTGGAACAATATTGTCATTCCATCATTCTCCTCTCCACCTGCTGTTGTGAGCTGTTGCTGATGCTTTTCTTTAGGACTGTAACTGTTCTCTCACTACTCTTTATAGAAGCGTAACGGTCTTTCAAAAATGAATAATGTTTAAAAGTGACTATTGTTGTGTACTAATACATTATAATAAAGAACTGTATTATTTAAGCACTTTTGCAATCCAATAATATTATTCCTAGCCATTCAGTTTTTATTTTGAAACTCGGGAGTAATATTCATTGTGAATCATGTACTGATGTAAAAAAAAATCATTTTCAAAATGAACTGTTTTTTCCAGAATTTAATATTTCTTTTTTAAAAAAAACCTTCCTGCTTTTTGAATATTTTTTATATGTTTTTTCCATATGCATTTGATTTGCTTACAAGTAGTGAGTAAAATACACTATTAGATAAAAATAAAAGCAATGCACCACGACACACCGAGAAGATGTAAAGTAAATTGGACGCAAATTGATATGTATACAGGTTTTGATGGAAAATGCAAAATTTTACATTTTGGCTACCAATGAATGAAGGTTTGTCGCTACAGGGCATCTGATCTGCGCTACTGGCAGGATTTTTAAGAGGAGAAATTATTATTCCAGGTCATAAATTCTTCAGGAATTTCATTCCATGTACTCTGGTAGACAGTAACTATGCCTCGCATACAGGTGCGTGAACGATATGCGCAGATGTCAGAATTTGAGAGAGGTCGTGTAGTTGGACTCAAAGAAGTCGGTTGTCAGCGAATAGCTCGACATTTGAGCAGGAGCGATGCCACTATTAGACGATGTTGGCAGGAATGGGTGAACCGTGGCTGCACACAGCGTCAAGAAGGAAGCGGTAGGTATAGAGAAACGACAGAACGTGAAGCCCGAGCAATCGTCACAGTGGCACAACCACAGCCCCAGATGCATCATTACTATCGATTGTACGTGCAACTAGTGCTTCAGTGACCGCAAGGACCATTCATAGATGGCTCACAGAAGGGGGGCTGAGGTCATGCACCCCTTGTGCCGACTACCATTGACCTCTGTACAACTTCAAGCCCGTTTGCAGTGGTGTCGGGCTCATTCGCACTGTAATGTCACTGACTGGAGTAGAATAGTCTTCAGTGGTGAGTCCTGCTTTGAACTGAGCCTCGATGACCAGCGAAGGCGATTCTGGAGACGCCCCGGACAGAGGTGTGATACCAACCTGTCTTCTGGCAGACAGGCAGACAACCAGGAGTGATGGTCTGCAGTGCCATTTCATTTCATAGTAGGACCCCTTTGGTTGTCATCCGTCACAGCCTTACAGCACAGCGGTACATCGACGAAGTTCTAAGGCCCATTGTGTTGCTCTTCATGTCATGCCACCCTGGGTTTAAATTTCAGCAAGATAATGCCCACCCCCATACTGCACGTTTCTACTGCTTGCCTTAGTGCTTACCGAACATTACCTTGGCCAGGATCGCCGGATCTCTCTCCTATTGGGCACGTTTGGAGCATTATGGGCAGAGCCCTCCAACCAGCTTGGGATGTTGACGATCTGATGTGCCATTTGGACAGAATTTGGCACAGTATCCCTCAGAAGGGACATCCACAACCTCTATCAATCGATGCCAAGCCGAATAACTGCTTGCATAAGGGCCAGAGCTGGAGAAATGCGTTACTGACTTTTTCACTTTGTGAAGCTCTATAACTTCAATAAATCATCCAATTTTTCTGAAACTGTAATCATTTTTTTTTCTGTACATGTATGTCACTACCGATTTTTGTCCCATTCGGATAACTCCTTGCTGGTGCATCTTTTTTTTTGTGTAAGAGGGTACATTAAAATTTTTATACGCTATTTAGTTATAGTAAATGCAATAAAGTATTCAGTTACCACTTTTAATTTGATAACTTATGCTTAATCAGGAAAATTGTTCTATTTGGTTATGAGAGACAGGAAGTCAAAGAATTTAGTAATTGAATTTTAGTTGGAACCTTGTACAAAGATCAATATAAGTAATGCAGGCAGTAATGAACTTTTTAAAAAAATTTGTAAATCATATCCAGGTTCTAATTAACCTATGTTGTGATTATAAAGTTTCTAAATAGATTTTGACAATTTTTTTTTTAATTTCCTGCTATCATGTCAATACAGTGTTATTAGTCTGATGAGTTGTCTATGTGTTTCTATTAGTAATTTTTTTCTCTATATGTATTAATATCTATTGCAGGGAAAAGTTCCTTTGTCAGTTTTAACCGATAACAAGAAAAAAGATGACTTAATAATGATAAGTTGGTTCAAGAAACAAAAAGACTGGGATATTCCTTCTCTTGCTATTGTTTTTGAGAGTGGCTTGATACAGCTGATGAAAAATGAAAATGATAATAGTATGGCACTGTTTCCTGTACTTGTATGTTTTCTGTGGTAACATTTTACATCTATGTTGTAAATTTACAGTTAGCAGCTAAGAAGCAAAACCCCCTAAATTAACTTTTTTTCAACTTAATTTTAACCAAGATTTTGTTCCCCATATTTTAGTTTTCAAATAGACAGTTTTTTTTACTTATCTACTTTCCTGTATTTTATTATTCATGCTTTTGAAGATTATGTGCTGTATCTTATTGCAGATGATGTTTCAGACAAGTAAATTATATGTTATATGAATTTGAATTTTTATGGCCAACATTATTTTCACCTTTGTTATGCTTTTAGTACTGAAGTTGTACAAAAATAATTCCTCAGTGTTCAAATAACATATAGAACATAACTTTTCATATCAGTATAAATTAGTTCAGTGGTCTCAAACACAAATTGTACATGGGCTAAATGCATGATGTGAAGGTAGCTGATGTGCCACTATAGTAAGAGTAATAATAATTATAATAAAGTAAATATTAAAATATTAAAAGCTATGTAATGATAACCGATTCTCTTCCTTTTTTAATTACATTTTCTTATGATACTTATAGAAAAAAATCCATATTTTTATGTAAATAATGATAAGCATTTTTGTTTCTTACTACACCTTCAGCTACATCTCTTGGTGATTTGATGTTGAGAAAGTTTGCAACCTTGGAGGAAAATTAGAAAATGTTGTCATCACTAATTGTAGATATTCATTGGCAATCTGGTTCTATTCATAGACTTATTACTTTTTAACTACGGAATAAATGCTGTTCACATTTAAAATGTACTCCCAGACAAAGAAGGTTTTTCTTATTGCAAAAAAGCTGAGGATAAATATCTTTTTACAAGTACAAATAAAAGTTAATCAAATTTTTATCATGAAATCTTTGAATAAGTTTTATATCACAGTGTGAATTAATTAGTTCCATTTGTAGATTGTCTGGAGTAATGACTTTGTTATTTTTAGCTAATGAAAACAATGTAAAATTGTACTCCAAGCCATTAAACTCTTAAAATTTTTTTTTTCAAATTCATGTCATAATACGGCTAATTAGTTTATGGGAAGTGCATTCACAGGCCACACAAAATTGCTTCCGGGGGACATCAGTTTTAGACCACTGGGTTAGGTTATTCGAATATGGCTGTCTGCCTAAGAGAATAGATGCCTTTGTGAGACTGTTTGCAGGAAGCCACAAAAACAAGCCATGCAGCCAGCCTATTCACTGGGGATTGAACCCAAGCCAGGTCAGACTACCAGTATTCAGCAGTCTTAACCACTCGGCTGCTGATGAGTGAAAATCTGTATAGCTTAGTATTCTGATTTCTATGCAAAATGAGTCATGTAGGCTATAATGCTATGGAGATTTAAAATTAGAAATTTCTAAGAAAGTATTTTGAGTATTAATGCTAGCTAATTAATATTTGTTAGCCATGAAAGAAGCCTAGACATGAGAACACAGAGGTTATACTTTTCATTTCTCCAATTAGCCTGGAAGATTGTTTCATTTGCTGGGCATTATGCCTACTTGACCTTATTTTACATAGGGTGATTTTAAAATATCTTTCAAAAATATGATGACAGGTTGAGGGGACTGAAATAAGTAGATTTTGTTATGTAATGCGTATGGAGAACTGGTGCATTGAGATGGCGGAGGGTGCTGTTGAGATCAGTGTTGAGTGGCATTTATTGCTGAATATATAGAGAGCTGACCAGTATGTGTTTTATCTCTGGGGCTGTGGACAGAAAAAGCAGAGCAATGATTGAAAAGATGTACACAGATTGATACCCAAGTAGATAGCTGCAGAATTGCTAACTTATTAACTACCTCTATGAATCTTTTATTATGACTGATGGTTGCACTTTTGAGGGTCTGTTGTAAAATTCCCAATAACTGGAATGGTTGGTTCTTTTTTTTTTTTTTTTGTCAGTCATACATGTGAACACTTACATATGTCATTTCCACTTCCACATTCCATTATAAAATCTGTTTTCTATCTTTCCCCTTTAGCTGCCTTTACATTTTTGCTCTATATTTTAGAAGCACTCTGTATGTTTTGCTATGTTGTTTTGCTCTATATTTTAGAAGCACTCTGTATGTTTTGCTATATTTTTTCATTTCAAAATCATTCTTATGAACAAAAAGTGTAGTGTAGAAATATTGTACAAAAGGGAATAATGTCTGCTGTGTGAATATAACGCTTAACAGGGAGTAGTAATGCAGGTTATCATTTTGAATTCTATTAACCGCTTAGCAGTTTCTCCTGTACATCATATGGGCAACCCTTTTATTGTGCAGCAGCAGTTTAGTTTTTGACTATTCCTTTATCTCCTCTGTTTCTTGTTTCCCCATTTTGTGTTTGATTTCATAGTGAAATATTTGCTTTCATTCAGATGCATTCCATTATGTATGCTGGACGTCTAGTAATGTATCTCTTTTATTACAAATATATAATGTTTGATAATCTTATTACTAAAGCCATATAACTTTTAAGTTATATTATTGTAATTTGCATGTTTCATTTTTTTTTTTTTTTGTTCTTTATTTTAAAGTATACCAAAATATATCCTTCCTACACTGTTTCTTATTGTAAAATAGACCATACTGAGATAAAATATTAAGCTGATTTCTAAAATTTCTAGATGTGTAATAAATATGAAATGTAAAGCTGTGTGTCATGTTTATTATTATTTGCAATCATTAAAAAGCGAACACAATTTTATTTCTGACATGTGAAGGATTTTTCACATATAATTCATCTAAAAATGAAATTTTCTTTCAATTGTGTAATATAGAAAATTTTTAAATGGTTCTGTGAAATTTATTGAGCTATAAATAGAGATTTCATACTAGCGTGAATTTCTGTGATGTGAACTTTATTGGATTTTTTTATATTCTGAAAAAAATTTTGTACTAATGTCCAATAAATCAACTAATTACATTTTTTTTTTTTTTTTTTTCTTTCTGAGCTTCAAGAAAAATTGTTTGATTATTTTTCATATTTTAATATTGCCTTCATTTATGTTTGTGTGACAAATTCAATACAGATTAATCTTACTTTAAAAAAATTAAGTAATTCACTCCAGTTTCTGTTTCTAATGGTTTCGTGAGCTACCTGTGTAATGTTTTTCCAACTGTGTAATGGAAACCTGCTTTCCATTAGGTGATTCTTGTGACACATGATTCTTCCTAGGAAGAGATCTCCAATATGCTTTTCTGTAACTGAATAGTTGAATCTAATGCAAAATTAAATTGCTATTTGAAATTAGCCATTATGTATTTGAAGATAAAAGCATCAGTTGTGTCAGCCAGTTGCAAATTTGTTGAAGGCATGCATAATTCAACACACGTATGACTGATCATTTTTAGCACTTGGACTTTTGAGGACTTCAAAGGATTATTTCATCCATATTTGTTTATGTGTCAAAAATGAGGACCAACAGGAATCAGACTTTATTTATATGAAGCAAAATAATTTCATATCAGTGAAATGTTTTAGAATTCTGGACTATAATAAAATCTCCCTCTAAGGTAGATAAAGATGCCATCTGTTGTTTGCCAATACTCACAAACACTGTTGTGCTGATCAGTCCTTTTCTCAGTTTAAAATGTGTTATGAAAAAAATGCACTTATGTGCAAAATTAAGAGAATTTGTATATTATTTCAAAAAAAATTTTTTTTTTTTAATTTTAGGTGCAGTTGTTGTTGACACTGGTCTGGTAATTACATCAGTAGAATGGAATCCTTTTGGGAGCATTATTGCTGTTGCTGGAAAGAAAGATAAAGCTACACTTTCTGGAGATGAAAAGTCACATGAAGTAAAATTTTTTAACCCCTGTGGAGAGGTAATTTTACTTACCTTTTAAATTTATTAAAAATAACTCGTAGAAATATAATAATGATTGTTTTCTATATGATGCTATTCTGTGCAGTTGCCAAAACTGGAGATAATTTTCTACCTGTTCATAGTATTAGTCAGGTAACTTTAGTAAGCAATGACTTTGATTCATTATCATAGATAACAGCACTTCATTAAAGTCTTTATAATAGGAAGGCACTTCATCTTTGTAATACTGAATGAATGAATGTGTGCACTAAAATCTTTGTAATACTGAATTTGTTGAAATTTTATGAGGATGGAACACAGTGAGTATTATTAACAATTGTTTTCAAGCTGCCTCTTTTGCTGTAATATTTAATACATGTTTGAATATACTGATCTAGAGTGCATTTGCAGTACTAAAACACCATCTTTCAAACGCTTCACATTGTGATTTTCTCTTTGCATAAGTGGCAACGGTTTCAGAATAAAAAATAAACATTAGAATTTGTTTCCAAAAAGGAACTTGTTTTCATCTGTTTTACTCCTCTTTTAACATTAATATATTTATTGAAAGAAGTTTTTTCTCTACAGTATACTTTTATATTGTTAATACATTTGTTCTTGATCAAAGAACCTATAAATTGATGACTGTGTTTGGGATTGATTGATTGCAATTAAGCGTCTATAAATGGGAATGCTCAAACACCGTTGGAGAACTTAACAATGCCCAGGGTAAGTCTAAAAATTCCTCCTTTTTGGAAACCTGACCCCAAACTATGCTTTCTGCAGATCAAAGCACACTTCCATTTATTAAGCTAGAATTACGCATGTTCAAACAAAATGTGATTATGTAGTCAGTTCAATTGAAGCAGGGGTATTGTCACAAGTTGCTAATATCCTCATCAAACCACCAGATGATGGCAAAAATCCAGCCATTAAAAAGAGGGTTACTGAAATTTTCCAGTTCTGAATCACGAAAAATTCAGAAACTTCTAACTGAATTTTAATAGGGTGAGAGGAAACCATCCCAACTTCTTTGTGAAATGTGCAACTTTTCGACGGATTAGGTGGCAGATGAATTTTTTAAAGCCTTATCGATGCAATGATTACTACTTAATATTGGAAACATTTTGTCTGTCTGTAGTGATGATTTGTCTTAAACTATCAACAATGGCTGACAAGATATGGGAATTAAATCCCAATCCACCTCAGGTAGCTCACATTGTTTCTCCACCATTTAATAACAGTTTTGCACAAGGTTTACAGAAACAGATATCAAACATAGTACTGCAGATAGCAGAATGAGTAAATGTAGGATTCCAGTTCACAAAGACAAAGAAACAGATCAAATTTAAGGAATCATTCTAGAAATAACGTTGACCCGAACAACTGTTATTTTCACCAGCACTTTGGCAAGAGAGCTTACAAATGCATGCCACCATACAAATATCAGGGTTCGAAACAGTAAAACTGAATCCCGGCTTTCATTGACAACTGAAAGTCAAGGGTTCAAGTTGAGTTGTTTATATATTCACGACAATGCATCAGCAACCCATTTTTTAATTGACACTGGAGCAGAAATATTAGATATCGGTTCATCATCATTCGAAAAAAGAACTGTGTTTAAGCTTGAGCTGTTTGCAGGTAATAGTACAACTTTCAAAAACGTGTGATAGAAAATTGTTGGAGTTAAATTTGGGGCTACGTGGATCTTTCAAATGGCCTTTTTTAAACCTAGCATTAGAATAGACTTTCTTTCACATTTTTACTTATTAGTCAACAGTAAAAATAGGAAATTTATGTTCAGTATCTCCTCATCGATAAGGTACTTTATGTAACAATGGCATCACTCCTAAATTCATTGCTGACACTTTCTAAAACCAATATAGAGCCATTTTAAATAAATTTTCTTACTTACTTAAACTCAACATAAATAATAAAATTAAAGAACATTATGTGTAACATTTCATTAAAGCCAAAGGGAACCCCCATATTCTCTGAAGACTTTTTCAAGAAAAGTTGATTGGTGTGAAGAAGGACTTTGATTATATTCTTCAAGAAGGTTTCTGCAGACCATCCAAAAGCAGCTGGTCAAGTCCATTACATCTCACTTTAAATAAAATCTGGTGACAGGAGGCCATGCAGTGATCCTATGCAATTAATTTAAACACCGTACCAGACTATTACCCACTACCATTTTTAACGGACTGTATAAATATGCTTTTAGCCGTAGATATAATAAAGGTCTACCAACAGATTCCTATTCACAAAGCTGATATTTTGAAGACTGCCATCGTAACACCTTTAGAACTTTTTGAATTTCCTTATGTGGCATTTGATATATGCAGTTCTGCACAAACCTTCCAAAGGTTTATGAACACCATGCTGAGCAGCCTAGACTTTGTGTTCTGCTGTATGGATGACATTATCATTGCTTCTTCAGACACAGAAACACATAAAAAACATCTTGAATTAGTCTTTAGAAGGGTCATAGCTGTAGGCTGAGCATAAACATTGCAAAATGTAAATTTGGTTTTGGCAAAGTTGAATTTTCATTTTATGAAATAGCAGCAAAAGGAGTTAAACTTGTTCCATCCAGTGTCAATATGTAATATCTTAAACCAGACACCTTCACAAGCTTATGTAGATTTTTGGGAATGGTGAACTTTTACAATCACTTCATACCAAACTGTGCCAACCTGCAAGAGCTGTTGACAATCTTGCTTAAAGAAGGAAAGAAAAACAGCAAAAAAAAGCCTTAATTTGGACCAAAGATGCACAGAATATTTTTGCTGATATGGAAAGCAAATTGTGCAACTGAGCAATGTCAATGCACCCTAAATAGATGCCACAGATCACTAACAACAGATGCATGTAGTTCTACCATGGGCGCCGTGATTTATCAACTAGATTCAACAGCTATTAAGGCTTTTCCCCTTGATTTCTATCATCAGCATAGAAAAACTACAGTGCTTATGATCCTTATTAACCATAAACCATTTTAAACACAGTCTGGAAATACAATCATTTACTATTTTCACTGATCATAAACTTATCACCTTTGCCTTCCAGAAGAATTTAGATAAAGCCCCTTAAAGACAAGTCCAGAAAGTGAATTACATTGCTGAATTCATTACAGACGTACAATATAATTTTGGAGAAGAAAACATCATAGCAGACACACTGTCAAAAATTGAAACTGTCACTACTCCAATTTCAATACAGTGATAGCAGATTGCCAGGAGGATGAACACCTTAAGATTCTTAAATCAAATTCCAGCTTTGGAATAGTATAAATTACTATCCCAGACAGCAATAAAAAATTTACTGTGGTACTTCCATTAGTTTTAACTGGCGATACATTCCTAAAGAATTTCACGAAAGAATATTTATCGCTATAGAAAACTTATCCCATCCTGGAATTCGTGCAACAGTGAAGCTGGTGACAAAGAGATTCAGTTTGGCCTGGTATAAACAAGACTGCAGAAAACTGAGTGTTAAATTTATGCACATATATTGTTGTTAGTATAACTTCATGTGCTTAATATTTGCAACTTTGTAATTGTGACTCTGGCAACTGAAAAGAGTATTCTTGTGTTTCAAATTTAACGAGAGAATTATCTTCATATTCACAGTTAGATGTTCTAAAATAAAAACTCTGTAATTATTAATGTTATAAAAAATAAAGGGTATTGTATCAATATTTTGTACATTATTTGAGTTTTGAGTATTAGGAATATTTACTTATAGCTGAGTTTTGAAATCAGTATCCGACATCTGACGTCTGTAGACAGGACATCTACTGTGATTTGAGTGAGTTATAATAATTATTCAGCTAATTATATTTTCGTGATGGAAAAATTAAAACTTTCTTGAAAACGGAATAGAAGACTATTTATGACTGCTTACAATGACTTACATATAAGTGAAAGAGTTATCTCTCAAAGGTAGAATTTCGAAATTAAAAGTTATTGAAGAGAAAGCAAAATTAATGGTGGCATGCGAATATGAATTTAGAAACCTTTTGTTTACGTCCCAGGAGAAGGAGGAAGATATCGAAGAAGCAATTGATGTATCCAGAGAGCTACATTGACAAGTGGAGAGTTTTGAAGAATAAATTAAAGGATCTCATTAATGAAAAAAGTCAACATTATGCTGCATCTGCTGTTCTCATAGTTGTAAGTACTGCATCTAATAATTTGTTACATTACCCTAAAATTAATTTACCCACTTTTGATGAAAATATCAAGAATTGACGCTGCTTTTGGGTACAATTTCAGAAAATTGATAAAGACCCAAACCTTGATAATCATGATAAATATGTATATTTAGTTTATATATTAATATATATAAACTATGATAAGGCTGTGAAACAGTTGCAATTATGCTATGGCAAGGAGGAGTTACTCATCGATGTTTACGTTCAAGATCTGTTATCGATTATGTTGTTAAAACATAAGTCACAAAAGGCTTCATTTTGAAAATTTAATGATCAGTTGGAAATGAAACTAAGAGAGTTACCAAGCTGAAATGCTTTACCCTTTTGTCGAGTCACCTTTCCCAGATGAAACTTTAAAAGCATGGGGACGGTTTAGAACTGCCCTTCGATGAGCGAAGGAAGAATCCTCCAAAGAAACCCCCACTTTGATTACGATAATGCCTACTAATGATCTAGATTCCCTTGGCTTTCTTCAATATGAAGTGGAGGGGGAGGAGAGAATTTTGATTGCTACTCAAATTTTTGACCAGTATTAAAAAGGCAAGCTATTTTAATAACCGCCAAGAGACTGTTGAAAGGAAAATTCAACTCAGAAATTCATCAGCAGCAGAACTTTTGGCATCGAATATAAATAATAAGAAATTGTGCATATTTTGTTCTGAGAAGCATAAATCCTGGAACTATAAAAAAGAGCTCCAAAATTAACTTTACAAGAAAAACAAAGTGCAGTTGAAAAGGCCCATTGTTATTTTTTTGTGTTTAAGAGATGAGCAGAGTGAAAATGAGCCATTCGAAAATGAATT